AGGGATACGACGTGACGTAGATTAATTTATATTAGGCGTTGCATAACTGATTAATACACCGCATGGGAGACTATTTCCCTATGTTTTTTGTTATTACTATACAAAGTAACCTGCTTAGACTGATATAACTATAGAATTAGGGTTGTCCGAAATCGATTATTTCATTTTAATTTTAATTATTTTCCAGAGAAAATATTTAGGCCAAAATTTGTACTCTTCTACAGTGAGGATGAGGACTGATGTGCGTCAAGTTGAATTTCTACAATATTATAAATACGATAGCTTGTGTATTACTCTTTCGCGCAAAATCTACTGAACAGATTTTGATGAAATTTTGAATAAGGATAATTCTAACTCTTTATCTTTTCTATCTCACTTAATGGTACTATATGAATAAAACAAGAAAGTTAATTATAGTTTAGTTCTTTACTAAATTCACTTATGAATCTAACTGTTTTTTTTTTCAAATTGGTAACATATTTTTCTTTTCAAATCATTCAATGTTAGTCAATATTATTATATTATATACATATAGTTCAAATTCAATTAACTATTTACCAGTAAATTTTTAAATGTATCAATTAAGAAGCCTCTCGAAAGCTCACACTAGTTCTCTCTAAACCACCAATGGTTTTAATATAATCTTTATTTATATTTAATTAGTCTAATAATAATTTTTATATAAATGCATAACAACGAAATCAAATTTTATCTCTATCAATATGTTAGAACTCAATCTAACATAAGACGATATATTCCCTTTTGTAGGGTTTGATAAGCACTATTATAATAACCGCAAGTGAAAAAGATATTAAAGTATTTAATTATAAATTCATCCATCTATATATATAAAACGTATTCTCTTGCTTCAATGAATTTCCATTTAACATAAGGTAAAATCATTATTGTCGGTTTTATTCAATTTTCATTTTAATTTATTGTAGACTGTCCGTGTTTCAACTCTGTTTTTTTAGGCATTTAATATGTAGTAATATAAATTGGTGTTCGAAATAAAAAGGAAAACTATATTTTGTGTCAACCCTGAGAGGTTAGGAACAGACAGATGTGTATGCGCACCTGCATTCGCCCGCGCGTGCTCTAGCGTAGATCCTGTTAGGGGTAGTTGTTTTGAAACTTTGTTGAATAGACTGCAAAAGCCCGTATACCGGCAAATTTTCGTCTACTTATATTGTACTGTGAAAATTTGATTATTTGCATTGAATAGGCTCTAAAACTATAAATTCTTTTCCCTACGCAGAGGTACATCATACGTAGATAACATAGGTTATAAATAACGCGGGTGAAAAGCAAGAAAAACAATTGCAACATTTTCATTTTTTTATATTTAAAGTTGGTAATAAGATTTCATCGCAAAAGTAATGATTTTTTGGGATTTTCCAATTTTGGACTAAGAAACCATAATACTGGGTAATGTAAACTAAGATGGAACATATCTACAAAGAAAATTATAATTTAAAATTTTCGAAACGATTTGAATCCTAATTATATTGATGTAAAATTTTAAAATTTGGCTCCTTTCTACTTAGTAACCTAATATACTGCTTAATTTACACACAGGCGATATTTAGGAAAAAATCAAGAAGAAATCGATATTATTTTTACTTATCCCACTTTAAAATTCATGCAGAATCCTGTAAAATCTAATATTATGGACGCTGTAATGAAACAAATTTTTACTTAAGTTTGGTAAAAAAAGCGTAGTATTTACGTTTTGCTTGTAAAGAATCTGTACAAGAAACTGATTCGTTTTCTATTTAAATTTCAAGCTAAAACTTTTTACGTTAGCAAAATAAAATCTCCGCTATCATTATCTTCAAAATAACAGCATTAAAATTTGGTGTACTTACAAAACTACAATCAGTGGAGAAGACAATACTGCGTACCGAATGTAACGACCATCATTACATGCTCCGTGAGTCCGTCTGTCTGTCCGTATAGCGTGACGTGCGGATGTTAGGAAACTTTATTGTGATACAAGATTTTTATCCGAATGTGCTAATATATTTGTTGTGTACGTGATTGACGAGAGATTACCAAGAGAATTGTATTTGCAACGTTAATTTCGCCACAACATACACATACAACTAAGGTGGATAACTCACTTCTAATTTCTAATTTTTCCTTGAATTTAAATTGTCATATAGTTCATATTTATATTTCTTTTTTTTATTATTTATAAGGTTATATTATACAAGTATATAAATTTTTTGCTTAATTTATGTATTGCTTTATTAAATGAATTTATTTGGCTCAATTCAAAAGGGACTCGAGTTTTCTGTAGCATTTTTTAATTATAGTATCGAATAGTACTATACAGGTCCGAGCACAAATCCTCGTGGTACACTTCTAGAAAACACTGGCCATCCCTATTATATTAACAAAATCATAAGAGTTAAGTAAACTCTTATGATTTTTGTTAATATAATTTACTTAACTCTTATGATTTTGTTAATATATAAACTCTGACAACATAAATAAGAATTTCTTTCGAAATAAAAAAATTTAATAATTTCTTTGTAAAAAAATAACTTGTTCGATTTATTTGTGGTGGTTCACGATAACTATATCCAACCAGATACACTGAATTACTCTTTCTCAGGTAATAGTCATATACTATCTAAACCAGGTTAATCTACTTGAGTGTTTATAGAAAATCGGTAATAGCCCAGAATTATTGCTTATCGAGATCTGTCATCAAATAGAATAACGGTCATAATCCACTTTCTTTCAAATTGAATACATTCAGAATTTTCTTTCAAGACTACATCACATTAACTCTATAAGAGAAATAAACAGTACAATAGTTGATATGCTCTGTAACTTAAAGATTGTATCATATTTATAAGCCAAAGTCAACTACACTGTTTCACTGTACACATTTTTAATCGGATCTTTAGTAATAAATCAAACCTGAAATAATTGTGTCATTTCCTCACACAATATCTTCATAAGCTCTTTTTCTTTTTTTTGGTGCTGAGAAATGTGTTACGTTTACCCATTCTTCCACTAGCGCGGGGTCTGCGGATCTACCCCAGAATGGGGCTAGTCAAATAGCAGAAGTTGGAGGTACGTCTTAGATACATTTGAGACACACCTTCCAGCAGAGGGGCGTGCAATGCCCAACTGACGCGTAAACCAGCTGTACTGCCCCCATCTAGAGACTGGAAATGCTTAATTGTGCATTCCCAGTTCTTACCCGTCCAGTTGAGATGACCCATCATCATCGGCCCTTTTACTTCGTCCTGCTGCCCTTTTACTTAGGCCTTCTTTATGAATTTCTTCACAAGCCTTACTGGCCAAGAGCTCAGTAGATCTCTAATGAGTTTCTCGATCACGAAGGTCGGTAACATCAGATATGATATAAAAAAAAAACTTTTTCATTATTTATAGCATTGCCCAAACTACTTGCAAAACTAGTCTTATTCATAGCGATAGTATTGACTGACAGCGCTACCGGCATTCGTTATTATTCAAGCCATTATGAATTCTAATTTGCTGCAGTAACAATTAATAAATCGTATAAAACAGACCAATAATATGTTAATACTGGCAGGTGAGCCGGTTTCGTGTTAATAACATTAACACAACATATAACTACTGCAATCATACTGAATATTACTTATAAAATGAGACATATACCTTATGATTAGAGTTGCTAATGATTTTTTAATTAAATTAGATTTTGTAGGTAATCCTTCATTAATTGAGATTTGGAAAAATAATAAATAATTTTTGGCAAAGATTCATATTGTTTCAGGTCACTTTTCGAAGGTATTAAAAAACACAAAATTGATTAAAAATACCAATTTGTATAAACTTTATTTAAAAAGCCCATGAATGACTTATAAAAATGAGGTACATGGTAGCAATTCTGTAAATATACGTTATTCTAAATAAGAAGATATTCAAAAATCGTGGCTCACTAAATTACTTAGAGAATTTAAATGAATAATTTCATTTGAAATGTATAAAATATCTTTCAAATTTATATAAATATATATTTTTTTCATATTTGAATCATAAAATGTAATACGTTAGATATAAATAACAAATAGCATATGAATATTTTAAAACAAATCATTCGACTGATATAGATGTAAGCATATTAAATTTCATCGAAACATATTTAGTATGATATAAAATTTATTAATTAATGATGAATTATGTAGTCGAGATTTATTATAGAAAGACAAATTAAAATCCGAGTTTTGGCAATAAATAAAGACACTAATGGTGTCAACTGTATTTTATAATCATACATAACATTAAATTTACTTTAATGAAACGATCAAAACATGCACGTAAATGATTAGATTATATAGTAAATCTCCTTATTTAATAATATATTCATTGCATACTTAGATTGTTGCATATTTAAAATCTAAATGAGAAATTATTACACTTTCTAAGGCAAATCTTATAATTTGGCATCCCACAAGGTTATGTTTTGGGCCACAAATGTTTGATAGTAGTTTTGTATGTCACCATTGCAACTTATTATTATTATACTTTTGATTCATATTGTTATTTTTGTCTAAAAATAATTTCAAACGATGTCTAAAAATAATATCATACAAGAACTCTGTAACTGACATTATAATTCGAGCACATGAAACTTCAATTATTCCAAAATGCCCTTGGTGTAGTAACATAGATAATCTAAATAGTAAGCAAGGTAGTTATCTCCTATCTCTTGTTCTGTCCACCTAAACGACCTTAAAACGTGAATGCGTTTAAGAACTCGTAATTTAAAAGCGAAGCCCTAAAAGGTTGTCAACGCCATAACTGCGATATCCTAATAGCGTTTGTTTGCTATTGTTTTTTACTATGAGAAGGCAGGTGTGAGGGCGAAAGGAAACAAACTAAAAAAATTGGTATAAACCTTACTGACTAGAATATAGGGATGTGATCTTAATGAAAGAGCAGCAAAAGTAACCTGGCCAATCATAAGCTGTGTTGACGCATGCGCGCTATGCGCCAGTCTATAGTAAACCTGCGCGGGATTCGAACGCCCGTCGCTGTTTTTAAATTGCCGCGAAATAGTTTTCGATTTTCGAACTCGTGATATTTTTAAAATTTCCCTCATCGTGCATTTGTGTTGTGCTCTGAGCGTTGGAACGGTTGAAAACTGTGATAAAGTCTTCACTAGTGCTGCGGTACTCATACGTTTTTCCCTGTGATTTCGGAATCATTTTCGGTGAGTCGTTGTTTAGTCTTTTATTGAGTTAGTTCCGATTTGGGCGTGCAATATTGTTATGGTGCCTCAGTCACGATTTTGCTTAGGGCATAGTCGAACTGTGGTCACAAAAATTGCTGATATTTTTTTTTTTCTTGCAACCAGGCAACCTTTTTGTATTTTTTCCTTTTTTAATTTAATTTATTCTAAATGTTGAATCATAAAAGTTAATTTAACCTAACAGGATGAACGAACAATTTACCGCGACTGCAAAAGTTGTGTATTTTTAAAGACCACCATTAAAGTTAGCATGATATCTGACATTATAAACACGGAAATAATAGTAATAACTTGAATGCGTTTATATTTAACCGACACGCGCACAGCGATCGTTTAAAGTTTTGATAGATATTAAGAATATATACACAAAGCATTTTGTTGTATTGCAATACATTTGTCAATTCTTTCATTAACAGCTGGTCTCTATCAGAATTCATTTAACTTTAAAACATAATTTTCATTATTTTTGTTATTATATAATAAGTATTATGCTATTATCTTGTTTTGTATCAGTTTTAATGAATTGTCTATGTTATAAAGTGCTTGGCGAATTGATATCAGTTGTTTATAGTTGTGTGTTATAGGTAATCAAAGTTTATTAATTTTAAATAATTATGTGGGTGTTATAATTTGGTCGTTTGAAAATTATTATTATTATTATTATTTATTCTTTATTAGTTTGTTTTTGAAACACTTTTTTTATTATTTTAATTTTGCTATTATTGTGCGTGCTGTTAACACATATTATTGCTTGCTTACTTTTTATTTCCAATTTAATTTTATCAGTTCAAACTGTTATGTGTAACTAAATAAAAAAATGTGGTTTACATTTGGCAAATTATTGGTATATGCCCAGTCAGTATGTAGGTACACATATGTCATTTTGTATAGAAATGTAGAGTAAGCAAATTTGTTGTACTCGTAATATATAGTGAATCACAAATCTTTTTAGTTAGTCGTAAAAAATATAGTGTCTTCACAAACGTTATTTTTTTCATATAAAAACCTTCAGATAAGAGATACGGAACTTAGTAACTCTTACAGTAACAAATTTGCTTACTCTACATTTCTATTACTATATCACATATGTGTACCTACACAGTGAGTACCTATACTGAACATAAATTGCAATGAAAACTGTAAACGGTACAGAGTTTAATCCAATATTATGTAAAACATATTAATTTGTTTACTAGAGCTCAGCCGTGCTATTCTTCGATAGCGTTGTGTTGGAGTTTAACGCTGTTCTTTTAACAGAATCATAATCAACCGTTTTAGTCCCCACTGCAGGGGCTCAGGCCTTCCTTATGAATGGTCAAGGAGGATGGGCCATGACCCTCCACGCTGGCCCAATGCGGATTAATATAATCATGGGGTATCCTAAGCATGGAGTAGCTCGAGGTTATAAATTTTTGACCACTCATCCCGTGACCGATACTTGTCAAAGTTGCTTAACAACAAATATCGCGGGCCGCGGCGCTTATCCATTACGACACCAAAAACACCACCTAATAGACCAAGATCCCAGGGCCGCAAGACGTTACTATATTATGGACAAAATGTGTTATGGTAATTTTAGTATATACTTAGATCATAAGCCCAACTGCTTGCTTATCCTGAAGGTCAACTTGCAGATAACAGGTTACAAAGGTAAGTAAAAACACCTAACACCTTTCTTTGATCGATCTTTAAGTATGTCAGAAAATATTATAAATTATCAGTACTTCCAGACATCGTCAGCAACAACTGCTTGAAAACGCTCATAAGTTCTAAAGATAAATCTTGATCTCTAATATTTCATATTTACTTATATACATACAATCATAGACACGTAGTAGGATAAACAAAATTTCTCCACTGTCCATAATATATTTGATGATAGAGTTCAAAATCAACTATGTACATGTAAATGAATAAATAAAGAAAATGGAATGAACAAGTTTAAGATAGTTGAAAGTCTGATATAAAATTGGACGTTTTATTAAAGCTAGAAACGGCGGCAGAAATAAACGGCAGAATTAATATACTAATGATTAAGTCATGGCAGAAACAAAGATATGATGTTAAGTAATGCTATAAACGATACGATGTCAGAAACTAGGTGCAAAGAAAGGACAGTTTAAATGCCAGAAGTGACACTTGAATCAAACAGGATGGTTAAGGCGTACCAGACACTACGTCAATAGTGAAGAACTCCCTAAGTAAAAATTAACGAAAAAAATACTCAACCGATATAGTGTTAATAAAGTTATTAATTGATGTTACTATTGTTATTTATAAATTTGAATAATTATATTATTTGCCTAACCTCGAACTGACTTTAACATCTGCCTGTCGTTCAAAATTGTCTTGCCCTATCAGGTCATAGGATCACATGTTTATGCTTATGCCATCTATTCTATGTTACATACATTGATTAAGTATTGAGTATCCACTGGAGACCCTGTGCAAGAAATCAAAATGAGACTGTCAGTGAGATAATGATATAAAACAGCAAGACTGACCTAGAATTGTAGCAAGCAAATACAGTTGGAAATATATCAAAAGTTTTATAGCAAGCAGTTGAACCATACGTAACATGCGCATAATAGAAGCGACCACTTTATTGGCTTTGAAAAAGGCTAGCTTCTAATGTTCTGGGCATTAGATAAGTTAATAAGTAAATAAAGATTATAATTAAGAAACTTGAGTCGAGTACGTAATTATTATAATTATGTACATAACGTATTTTATTTATGAAAATCAACCATACGTATAAAAGGGGGAGATGTAAGATAAAATTTACCGTTATTTTTAGATGATAATTCGATTATTTCTTTATTAAAGCCAAATATTTTTATCTTCTCGCTTTATTCAGACATTGCGGTATTATTATTATAATTAAAGTTTATTTTAAACAAACGGTTACGCCATATACTAAGATATCGTTAATCAAAAAGTAGTACTTACTTATTTTGTTAAAAAGGTAAGTATGTAAATTTTAATAATTATGAGTAAGGAAATAGACGAGTATATTGGACAGTTATTCAACCACTGAGGTCGTTAATGTCAGGAGTGCATAAAAGAGTAAAGAAGTACAAATGTCTTTAATTTTTTATTACACAGTTACACCTGTTACACTCAATTTGTATGCTGTTTATGAAGAGCTATATGTTGGCATTAATAGAGTTCAAATGCGTAAAGCAGAATATACTATAGTGTTAGAAGTTGAACTTAATAATCGCAAATTAAGACTTAAAATCGATTATATTAGATAAATTTTACAGGTTTGGTTATTGTGGGAGTTACTCGAATGCTTATGAAATGAACACTAAACACTATGTACTCCAAATTATATCATTCATGATACTTTTACTCGTAACAAATATATTTTTTGTATATGGTAATGATCTTTGACATAGTAAAACGGTTCTTTATTTTGAAGAAATTTGATTCAAAATAAAAAAAAAATATATATATATATTTGAATTCGAGTGGTAAAAACTATGATCAAAATAGCTTCGCGCGTTTTAAGAAAAGTTTCTTGAATTTATTAAATGTTTGTGTATTTCAGTTTTGCGGTTAGGAGTTTCTTTTTTGTCCATCAAAATCCTTGTTTTTTTTTAATAATAAGAGGCCTCAGTTTTTAATATATACGTTAGTTGCTCCCGAGCATTTTTTTCTAGAAACTGCGCACTTCGAAAGGCACGTTAAAACGTTCGTACCGGGCCGCGTTGTGGATTACAGCCCGGTTTCCCTATTTGATTGCATACATAGGGAAGGTTCGTCCCCCAACAGAACATTTATAGGCCGGTAATGGTGTTTCGGGTTTTTGCGTCAAGCCTCACACTGTATACTGCCTCATTCGTAGCTTGCGACATATCGTCTGTGCTTATACTCCTGCGAAGCTAGTTCTGATTCCTTAGTCTAAGATATGATTAAGAAAAATATTCCCCTATCTGTTATTGGATTGAGAGAGTTTGCATGTGCGATAGCATTAGATTAATAATATTGAAACGGGTTTCCTAGTTAAAGGCCATCTTTGTAAAAATAATGACACCGTGCGTTAAGTTTTATCAATTCCCCTCATTAATTATTCTCTCGAGAAGATGTCCAAAAATCGAAAAAATATAGACGGCCTGAATAGAACAGATACTTTTTATAACGAATGAGTGCTAAATGTCAAATGCTTCTATTCGTTTGTAGGCGGTTACCTTATAGTCAGCCTAAAAGAAAAGCAGGTAATCTATATTTATTTAATTATTTTGGATGTGTTCACTTAATTATTGTTCGTTTTTCATGACCGAATGAGAAGCATTGATAAATTACGCACAGTAAGCATTATTTTACAGTGATAACCCCGAATTTAGCTAGACAACCCGGTTCTCAAATTATTAATTTACATGCTATCTTACGCGAGAGGATTTCATACATACCTTATGTCTATCTTGTTTCTACAAATTACTGCTTCTAGCGAGTTTGTTATACTAAATATACCATTGTTTTTTGTTCATAACCTCCACGAACAGCATTTAATAATAGAGCGGGATTAAAAAGCAACTTATATAATTACTGTGGTGCACTAAACTCACTCACTGGTCATAAACCCTGAATAGGCAACATAATTCATTTGAGCAGGCACGCTGTGTGGTATTTTTATTTTTATTTTAACGACCTTTTTCACGTAACAACATTTTAAAATGGATTTCGCTATAAAACAGAGTTTGGGAGTGCAAAATCATTGTTTCAGGTACAATGAACACTATGTCAGGGTATAACATAACTGTATTTTTTAAAATAGATTTTTAAGTTTAGTAATTTGTGTTACTTGAATCCTAGGTAGGATTGCCAGACTACGGAGCCTAGGTGTGGAGCAGTCTCTGCTGGTTCCCAGGATCTTCCACCAAAAATTACATGTGTCAATCTAAGGAAGTTCAGTGGATATGCTTTCTGCGTATTGACTAGACTTCGAGCGGGTCCGT